GGAAAAATACGTATTTTACTAATTATAATTAGTAAAAAATTTAAGTGTTGCATTATTTTTGATTGCCACTGTATATATAATATGTGATAAAAAAACTTAATTATACTAAATTCATTATAAATTCATAAATATTATATCAAATTTAATAATTAATATATTATTTAAAAGTAAAAAAGTTATAGAATAAAATTTATTAAACTTAAAAATTGATTTATTTATCTTTAATTTCAATAATTAACTCATAATAATATTTTATCAAATTTATTAAATTATTTAAAAAGATTTTTGGAATTTTTTATCAAAAACTTCTTTAAAATATTCAAATTTTTAGATATTTATTTCTTAATATTACTCTTAACAATAGTTTATAAATTTTCTATAAGATTAAGATCAGTTTAGATAGTTTAGATATAAAATAAATATTTTCATTCTAATAATATAATAAGTTATATATTTTTTATTTGTAAGTAATTAATAATATTTTGATAGTAAATAAATCTATTATTTAACTTTAATTCAGTAAAAAATAATATAAATTAAGCTAAAATTGAAGATATTTATTTATTATCTAATATGATTAGCAAATAAGTTTTTTTGTCACACACTGTATATATATATATATATTAATATAAATTATATATATTAAATATAAATAATATTCAAATCAATAATTGTTTAACTAATTGTATTACAACTGCCACGAAAAATAGAATGCTGGACTTAAAATTCTTTTAATTTTCTCATAGTCGATAATCGTAGTTAGATAGCTAGCGTATATTGAGAACTTGTATTTATAAATTACTTAAGATAATAATACTATATTTATATATATTGACTATCACTACTCTACCGCTATTACTATAAAATAAAGAAAAAAAGAATTTTCATATTATTCTGCATATATTACTCTACAATGTTAGCAAGACTGGAAAAAGGACGTCTTTTTTCAATGATATCAATAATATGAAGTGAACAATCAGGACGGATTGTTCTAGATGATTGGCTTTTTATACAAGATAGTGCGATTGCAAAAAAAAAGGAAACATACAAAGAACTATATATAAACAGAGAATAAGAATAAAGGTATCAATTATTTATCTAATATACCTCCTTAATGTTTAATTTCTTGATCCATCAAAGCTCGCTTTTCCTCATCAGCGACATAAATGACTTGTTCATTTTTGGGGCGTTCTTCTTCTTCGTGTACTGCAACTTGTTGGTAGATACCACGACGTCGGCGAGCAGCGAGGATAAGAGAGTGAGCGGCAGTTGGGAGAGCAATGAAGATGAGACCAAAGGCAGAGGTGAGGAAAATTGAGGCAATGATGACGCGGGTGAATCGAGATGCACATCTCCACCAATGACGAACACGACCAGCGAATGTAGAAAGAGAGCATGGAGCATGTGATGCTATTATTTTCGTCAGAAAGTGGTGATTAATGTCAAAATGTTAACATAGAATGAATGAATATTAATAATAATAAAAATTCATACCTTCACCATCATGGGTAATTGATAATGGTGATTCCAAGTTATCACCAGTGTTTGGTACAAACTCGACATCCTCAGAATCGTCATCGAGAACATTGAGTGTCTTCACTTCAAGAATCTTTTCAACAGCATCAGTTTGCACGATATCAATACCATCGATTTCAATGATGCGAGTCGAGATGGTGACACGGCGAAGTGACACGCTAGGATCTTCGGTGGGGAATGATTCAGCTGTGGATGATACTTCAACAGTTACAAGACCAATGTCGAAGGAATCATCCAATTCTTCGATAGCTTCATCATCGGTGCTGTTGGTGGTAGAAATGATTTTCGCTTCGATTTCTGTGATACTGGTGACACCCAATCCTACTGGCACGTTATTTACAAGAAGCTATTTATCATATAGAAATAAACATTAAAATTTCAATTAGAATTGATATTTAATGTGATTGCAATAGTATCGCGCACGAAAATTAATACCTGGTCATCATTCAATTCGAATTCAATAATAACCGATTCTAATCTTTCAGCCAATAGTTCACCATCATCGTCTACGAGGTCATCAATACGATTAATTTCGACAGAGAAGACTTCTTTTGAAGCAGATTCTAGATACTGTGTGACGTCAATCGTCGTATCCGAATAATCTGTTATGGGTGTTGCTTGTGCAAATACTAAAACGTTTATTTTAATAAATAATTTTAGATTAAAATTTGTTTAATATTAGGAGAAAATATCGTATGACAATTAATTTTTTACAAGGGTAATGATTATTTTCTCATGCTTTAACACAGTTGGCAGCAATATTTTCTGTCCACTTTTGAGAATGAAAAAGTAAGAAAGCTTCAAGTATCGTTGTAGTCAAGTTTACCCAATTTGTCGGTTCGAAGTAGATGCCACAAAAAATTACTTACCAAACAAGCACGCGAGTAATAACAAAAGAGTATATGTTGAGACTTTTGCCATGTGTCTGTCAATTGCTATTTATTAAGAAAAAAATTTAAATTTAAAAAAAAAAGGAGGTGGAAATAAAATGGAATGCTTTCGACTGTAAAAAAAAAGTTGAGATGAGTAAAAGAGGAAAAAGGAGTTTTTCTTTGTCACTGGAAAAGAAATAAGAATGTATTGATGAGGCTGAAACCCAATGTGAGTGTGAGAGATAACACGGAGTTACGGATATTTAGAATGATCAGAATGGTTAAAAAGTTACACACATGTACACTCTTTGTATCACTTTCTCTACGATTATATTTAGCTCAGGTAAGTTAACATAAAATTCAAATGGTTGATAAAAAAAAAGACTAACAAGCCTTATTTTATAGTTAGCTCTGTCGGTTGAAAGAGAAGTACATGTAATATTGCGCAGGAAAGAGCTGATTCCCGATGATGATGGTGATGATGATGATGATACATGTAAATAACCTTGGCACTTCTATAAATAGCTATTTTTGTTAATCGTTGTTTGGTTGATGATAATGATAATTTCTATGCACAGTCACCTCGTTATACATTTAATTTGTTCTTATAGATATAACGTTAGGTAGGCTTATTGTTTATTTATTATTATTAATTTACTATTATTGGATGACAAATGCGCAGAAAAATAATCACCCATAGTAAGGTTCATAATGACATCTGTCACACCCCATTTGTATTTGAGAGAAAAATCTAATTCCATTTATCCGCAGAATAATATTTAATGTTCTCACCGTTCTCGGAGATCATATTTCATTCTTCCGTAAATACATATACATGGGTATTTTGCATATGTACACTCACTGGAATCGGGAAATGATCAGCAATGTAGGTCACGAATTTTGATATGACTTTTTAATTAATATTTCTCAACTTCTCTT